CTACTGCAGTGGTTGTGGGGACAAATTTAAGATGACCCTCCAATAATCAGATTCTCTACATGAAAAATAATAACAAATTTATAATTTTCTATGTATAAAATCAAATTACTGGGGAGTCATCTTAAATTCAAAGACATCTTCGATTCAGGTAAATAGTTACATGGTTACATTTGAGACACATCTTTAATTATATGCATCACTGTTGATAGTAACATTACAGATACAGTTGATTCTGCACACGAACTCATTAGTTTCTGTCAGAGGTATAGCGATAAATCAGTCCATATCATATTGGCGCCAATAAAAGGAAAATTGACATTATTAGCAAGCAGCCTTGTTTGGCTGATGTGGCCGATAATGTCGCCAATAAATGCCGTGTGCAGCAGCAGCATGCACAGGGACAGCTCGGCAGCTTGGAGACCATCAGTAAATTGGGGGGGAAAGGGGCATGGGGGAGGGGTGTGTGTGGGGACACCGTTCAAGGCCTCCACGATGCAGGAGGGAGTGGGGCTGGGGCAGGGTCTGCACAGCTGGGACAGGGTGGGGCACAAGACAGCAGTAGACAACTCGTCCAGGGGGTACAGGGCAGTTCCCACCACTGCATGCACCCCTGAGGGAGGCATGGGGACCATGTGGCCCCCGGATCTGTGTGTGGGACAAGGGCAGGCTGCTGCTGCAGGCTCAGGGCTGGGGGCTGCGCCACCCTCTTCCCAGCAGGAGGGTTGGGCTGGGGCTGGGCTCGGAGCAGGCCGGGGTGGGCGGCAGCACTGGAAGGAAAGGCTACGGGGGAGCTATGGCAAATTTTTGGGTGGCTATAGCCCACCCTGTAGGCACCCCCCCCCATCCCAGCACCACCGCTGCCCTCCCTGCCCTAAGTGCAGCCTCAGCCCAGCCTCCCCGCCAGAAAGAGCCTCCCCCCTAGGTGTGCAGCGGTGGAAGCCGCCCCCCTTGCCCTCTGGACAAGCTATGCCATGGGTCCTTCCCACACCCAACCCCACCCTGGCTGTGCAGCGCAGGGCACTGTGGGGACCCCATCCCAGCCCTAAGCCCTCCCTGACCATGGGGGCCTCAATCTGCCCGCTCATGCCCCTGTCCTTCCCCACGTCCCTTCCCCCCCCAAATAGATTTACCAGCTGGATGTTGTTCTCCATACTGCCAGGCTGCATATCAGCAATCAGATCAGTGTCAGCTGATATGGCTGGTCAATAATCTGCCATCAGCATTGACCCAAAAACTCTTTATCGGTGCATGCCTAGTTTCTGTACATCAAAATCTAGAGCATGTCAAACACATGGCTTTCAGATAGGACCTGGCACCACAAACCTTTTCTATAGTCCACAACACCCTCTGCAATAAATAAATGGATCCATCTGCAGCTGCATGGATACTGCAGTAGAAAAGAAAAAAGAGGAAGCAGGAACCAGAAGCACAGAGATCACGTTAAAGAGTGAGAGAAGGACAGAGAGAGGCAAGAAAAGGAAGGGAAGATTACCTCCAAGAGAGGGATAAAAAGGAGGTGGTCAAGTTCCAAATGGGTTAGTGGGTAAAAAGAATTAAAAAGAAAGTAAGGTGCTCACTGAACATGGAGGGATGTATGTGACAGAAGAACATGTCATCAATACATTTATATTTATTACACCTCAACTTCAAATGTGATAGTTTCACCAGTTAGAAGGGGTACATTCTACAGTTAGAAATTTATTAACTAATAATAGGTAGGAAGAAAGTCAGTGAAGACTGCCAATTTTTTAAAAAGTTACTGAACTGGAATCAAATTATGTATGTGAGAAGTTATACATACAGGGGATTGATTTGTTTTCTGTTGCCTTGGTCCCTTAACTCTCATTTTTTATAATATTTACCACAATGTCTCTTAGATTTACTCCACAGTGGGGGAGAAGTGGAAAGTGAAGGAAGTACTGCATCAGGGTACCTTTATCAGTGCAAAAATGTATACCTATCCAATGCAGACTGAGTCTTTGGATTCTGGGAATAAGTCAAGGAAATTCATTCCTTTCCCAGCTCGATAATCTTAGTTTCAAAATGTTTTAATGTTAAAATCTACCAAGAAAACTACAGTAGCCAAAAAACTTTACTGGATTACAACTTGTCTACATAGAGAATAACCTAAAGGAAGCTAGGGAGTAAATTTACAGTACACTAACTACTGTACCAGCTCTACATGTGGACACTTCCAGTGAGCCCTACCCACCCCTTTAGTTCTGAGCATATCTCTAAGTGGTTTTGACACAAGCTTCCCATGGCTATTTGCTATATTAAATATGATTTTCTTCAATTATTCAATAGTTTCAAAAGATCTGTTCTTATAAAGCCACACATTTCCTTTTAAAAAGGGGTTAGAAATTTCTAAAAAGGGTTACAAAAAGTTATAAAGCAATTTCATTTTAATTCATAACAAAGATTGCAGGCTATTATTTGTAATAGGGCTGTCCAAATTTGAGCAGAGACCTCCAACTGAACAGGGCCTCCAAACCCTCCGCTGCACAGGCAATGCAACATCATCACCCCACTGCCATGCAGGTCTCCTGCTATGCAGGCATGGGCTCTCCTGGCCCCCTCCTGCCATGCTGCCCTGCCCCACCCAGAGACCCTGGCTGCTGAAGCAGCAGAAAAAAAAATGAAGGCAGTGGCAGCTTGCAGGGAGTCTGTGGGCTGGCGTTAACCCTTTACTTGCCAATGCAGGCTCACAAGCTGCCAGTTGCACACCCCTGGTTTATAGTAATGTAAAATTATATTAAAAACCCTGAAGTAAATGAAAACTAAGGTTAAACTAAAGTCTATTACTCAAAAATTAGGAAGTATCAGAATTAAAACTGTCCATTGAACCTTCATTCTGCTCATTTGTGTGCATATGTTAGCATAATTATATGATCACACACCATTTTTTTTCCAAAGGACCTGTGCCCCAGTGAGCACACACTTCTATGATCTTCATTCAGTCTGTATGGTCCCTAGCCCCAAAATACTATTTACTGTATGCCTTCCAAATTTTGAATTTGGAATACAGGATTTTTTTTTTTTTTAAGTAATTTGTATGACACTCATCAGCATAACATGATTGTTTCATGTGCACTGGTATATTTATTATTTCAAGACTCCTGAAATTTATAACCTGTTTTACAGACAGGCAATTGATGCACAGAGCAATTTAAATAAAAAAGGTCAAAAAGCATCCACTAATTTTGCCCATCTTAAGGTATCTGATGCTAATTATTCTGAAAAGTCAAGCACTTTTGGCTACTTATATAGTGAATCACTCCTGTTGACTTCAAGCACGCTTCTTGGTGCTCAGCTCTTCTGCAAATCTGAATGAAAATGTCAGGAAAACACAATTAATGACCAGCTAAGAAAAGTTCAGTTTTAATGATTTGCCCGCCAAACTTCAGATAGAAACTCTGTGGGAAAGACAGGTGCTGAATCCAATTTTTCAGGACAGCATTCACTGCCTTAACAATAAAACCATCCTTTTTCTCCCTACAATCCAACCTCACTCATTAAACTTTTTCCAACTTCTGCAGCCCTTATTCATTCCTAAATCAGAGCCCACCCTATGGACTGCATGATGTGATGCACCCAAAAATACCATGTGGAATCATGTAATTAAACACTGGATTACACTGTACATGTACAATGCAGCCAAACTAAGACTGAACAAGGAACATGAATTCTGACATATCCTAGTTTTTGAGGGCTTGACTTCAGTATAATTTCCTAGGTCTTTAGAAAACAACTAAAAAAACCCGGAAGTTTTATCACATGAAAGGTATACCAGTTCCCACAAGGATCTTCAGATACAGATTTGCATCAACTTTGCTCATGAAGCTACTCATAGGTGTAGTAGGTTGATACTCATTACCTGAACCCACCAAAAAAATACCACTTTACCATTTTACCAGTGAGCTTCACAGCAATTTGCTACTCAGCACAGTAAATACCATTTTGCTGATTCTAAGTAGACTTATTTCCCAAAGAGGGACATAAAGATCACACTCAAAGGGCTGTCAACCTATAACTGGAACTATACTATACAGAGGAGATGACCCTGCATGGCACACTGCCTGGCCCTAAAGATGCCATACAGGGTCATCTTCTCTGCTATGATGGTAGCAACAATGGTTCGGCTCATGCACGGAAGGGCCACAATGTTTCGGTGATCCAGATTGCCAACACCACACAGGTCCGGAATTGATATTGATCCCTTTCGGTTCTTCCCCCAGTTAACTGACACTTGTGGGATTTTGTAAGAACAACAGGACTTCACGACTACCTGCAGTTAATGTTTTATATTTGGAGGAAAAAACAAAAAACCTTTTTCCTAAAATTGTATCAAAAAACATAGGGCTGACTTAACACATGCTGGTCAACTTGCAGTTGAAAACATACAGTATTAAGGCTCAGGATCTTAGATTCTATTCCAGATTATGAGGCACTGTTTTCTAGTGGTTACAGGCTCCGAATGTGTGTGACTTTATTACGTACGTCTCTAGCTTCTCTCTTTCCCCAAACATCCCTACTCTCCCCTGCAGTTTATCTCAGCTGTCCCTCTGCCAGCAATCTGCCTCTCCCATCCCCACCTCAGAACAGAGCCAGACAGTTTCCTTCTTCTGAATTTTTGAGCCAAGCCCCACAGCATGCCCTGGATACTAGGTAAGGAAATCACAAGTACAATTGTACCTAGTTCTGCAGCAAGTGAAAACAGGCTTACCATAGAAAGTGTTCTGCAACCTTAACTGTATTTATGTTACCACCTACAAAAACGGAAGAATTTTCTTTAACATGCACATTGTAAAATGTCTAACTGCTTCTTGCTTTTACTTATTTCTTCTAATTTTTATTTTAAGATTCCATAAAAAATACTACAGAATTAAAGGAGAATTAGAAATTGTTCTACTACAATAAACTAGTCAGGATTATTTCAATTCAGATGCTTACATGAAAGTCCTTTCAACTATTACATTTTGGAGGAATTAATTCTTTGAGTGTATAACCTAAAGATAATTTACTGCCACATTAACCATATGCCACTAGTGTATTCCAAATTTCATTTTTAATTACAACAATTCCACCCTTCTCCTCTCCCCCTTCTTATTTAACATGGAAGATTCATACATGTGCAGTTCTGGAATTAATACAGTACCTGTGCTTCTGGCGAGAGCTGTTTCTCTCTTTCCTGTAAGGACATTTTACAATAAGACTGTAAAGCCAAATAGTTCTTCCGTTTCCATTTTCTGTCTAGCCTGTCTGCATGCTGTTTACAATAAGCAAAAAAAGGATCTGCTATATCCTGTTTCAGTAACAAAGAGAGAGATGAGAGGGGAAAGAAAATAATTCTAGTTAGAAAAAAAGGGTATGATAGAATATATAGCCATCATTCATGCAAACCATTTCACATATTCAAGTAGATAAGTTTCATAGAAATAAGTATTTTTAGGTCTCGCCTACACAAACTTGTAATCAGTTGTGTTAATTTTTCTTTTATTGTTTAACAATTGAATTCAACTGATGCAACCCTCACACAGACATTCAGATTTTTAAATGGGCATACTGGTTTTACATAATTTATCAAGGAATCAAATTAAGTTGATATAAGCCAGGTTTTAATTAGTTTAAGAGTATGCAGGCGAGAGCTGCACTAGTTTAAATGAACTGTTATTTAAGCTCATTACTTCCTTCTTAGACTACTCCACAGTTTATGAAACACCACAATTTATTACAAAATTTTAGTTTTCTTCTCAAATTCATAAACTATATAGTTTAAACTTTACTTTGTTTTCACACACAAAAGGTACGCTTATTAAACTGCTAGGGACAAAGAATGATTCCTCAGTTTTTAAAAAGTCAATGTCAACTTCAAAAGTTTAGCTTTAAAAGACAGACTTATTTAGATAAAATACTCTCAATTGATAGTTTAGGTGAAAAAAAACATTAAAATACTATTCAAATATCAATTCTATACAAAATTTATTCTAGGAACATGGTCAATGCATATGCAATTTTTAAAAAGTTGTTTAAATCCTCACAGTTACAGAGCACTGAGAAAGATCCTACCAACATTCAATGTGTCAGGTATCCAGGTTGTAGCTGTATTGGTTTAGAGGAAAAGGCAATCAGGACTCGTAGCAGAGATGATATCTTTTATTAGACCAACAACATTTTCGCCAAAAAAATCTTAATTAAAGAATTTTTTTGCAAAATTCCAAGAACCATTGACTACTCTGATGCCCAAACTGCTTAATAGAATATTTGATCATTTCAAAAAAAGTCCTGTAAGGAAAACCTTAACTATATTTCTTTCACACACACGTGCATGCATGCACAATCTCTCTATAAAACTTCTCCTGAAGAAATACTGAACAGAAGATGATCACTACCCAGATACTGATATTCCCAAGAAAAGTGGCATTATGTAAAAATCTATACGTAATGCTTTGCTATAGTTATAAGGAAATAACTTATTTTTATTTCAGTTTCATTTTTCTCTCGATTTCTTCAAATGTTTTTTGTCTGGCCTAAGTGCCTGAAAAGTGCAAGAGCAGACTAAGACTGGCTGAAACCGAGATGGACTGCAACTTCACAGTTTATGCTAAAGTCTTTCATTCCCAGGCTATTTTGAAGGTAGAAACTTGTCACTGTGGTTTACTAAATCTGGCACTAGATCCCATGCCTGTCTGCCTCTGCCCCCCACACACCCTTGCTAATTCTCCATTTCTACAATAGTAAACAAACAAAATACTATTCTTGCCTGTCAGGAAACACCTACTTAGTCATTACAGACAAATATAATATTTTACTTTGTTTTAAATGTATATATCTGTATATTTAGATTCCAGAGGTAGGATAATAAGTAACACAGTTTTCCTCCACAGAAATTTAAATTAACAGCTCTCTCAGATTAACCTCAACAAAGTATACTTGTTTATAATTAGCTATTTAAAGACATACTATTTTTTTTATGTGAAAAAGATGCCAAAGGCATACAACTGGTGGGAATTCACACAACTGGCTTCTTTAATGTTAAACCCAGTCCATTAGTCTCAACACATTTTAGCTCAAAGCACAGTATTTATCTTTCCAGAACATCATCTTGCAGGAACCAGTTATTTTAGTGAATAGTTCTGATGGAAAGCAAATTATGGTCTGAGTGGTCAGCTCTTCCAAAAATAAAAAGCAGAGATTCCATTGTAGATAATGAATGGCAAAGAGGCCTGTATATGCATGTGTACTTCTCACTCATTAATACATAATTTATTTTCTCACTCATTCATACATAATTTATTTTCTGTTGTGTATATTATATAAATAAGAATGTGAACTGCTATATCAAAACTATGGTCAGAACACTCGACAGAAAACAATATTTCAAATGAACAAATCATATAGCAGAATATTGTCATATGGACTGCTTAGTTCATATTATTAAGAAGAAAACTAATAAGAATAAATGCGTGTTGAGAGAATGGAGTTTCAGTACCTTAACTGGATGAAATTATTGGTAATTTAGAAAAGTAGAGTCTAAAGGAAAGTTAGAAATCACTACATGACAATTAAAATTAGCCACTTATAAATATTACACTGAAAAACTTATACACAAAATATTAGAATAGAAACATGGTCAGATTCTCAGGCCCAGCTTGATGCTGTTCATATCATTTAAACAACACAAAGGGATAGAATCTGGCTGAAACTGGAAAATTCAACAAAGCAGGGGGGACTTCCAAATTGCAATGAAACTGTCAAACTCTCTCATCCCTGACATAGACGCATTTCCAGAAAGAGAGGGACAAAATGAAAAAGATAGACAAATGGATTTCCCCTGCCTCAAATGGTGTATGGTTTCTTTAAAACCATAGCTAGACGTCAAGCCTAAAATCGTGACCTTGATGGACTGAAACTTTTTCCTGGTCAAACTAAACAGAAGAAATCTGGCAAAATGTCTAGCGATACTCTCACACTACCAAAAAAGCCTCTCACTTATATTCTCATAGCAGCATCTTAAAATAAACGTTCATCAGACTAGGGTTACCAAATGACAGTAAATTTATGGACACCACAAGATAACATCCTAAAAACACCTGTCCATGAAAATCTGTTAAAAAAATTAAAAAATGAAAAAATGAAAAAACAACAGCCTTCCATGAACACCCAAAGCCACTGGAGCTTTAAGCTCTGTCCCAGGGGAAAAAACGTAGGCAATGTGAAAAGACGGAGCATAGTAGCACCACTTGATGTCTGAAGGCAACCCAGCACCCTGCATGGAACTCTTCTCAGCACTTTGCAGCTCAGTGGAGCCAGCATTGACACTTCCCCCAGCATGAGCCACGTGCTGCCACTGGGTCCCATTTTCCATCCCACATCTCTAACAGTCATTTGCATTAAAAAAGTACAGGGAGGAATAAGGTATGACCTGAACATAGCTGCCAGCTATGGATGCCCAGCCCTAAAAGCCCTGCACAGTCACAAGGCGCATAGGGTATCTAGGGAGTAGGGGGAGCGGCGTGTGGAGTGACACCCCCCACTAACCTGGAAGACTTTGCAAATAGGACACTAGAAGCAGCTCTCAGAGAGCCTGTACTGCTGCCTCTGGCTCAGCAGCAGCAGCAGAAGTTCCTGCTGTTATGGCAGCATCTGCATCTGCCTTTGGAGTAAAGAATGGAGACCCCTGGCAGGTAAAAATCCTCTCTTCCTCTCTCCTTCCCCCGCTCACACTTCAGTGATCACCCTGCCATCCCCAGACACTGAAAAAGCTTGATATGCCTCTGCTGGGGGGTAGACTAGAATGGGGATAGCATCTGCAGTTGGTCATGTCAGTCGGGGCAGCCAACCCAAGAATTCTTTTTTTTTTATTTTTTACTGACAACCTGCAAATTTACTGACATCTAAAACTTTCTGGTATTATAGCCTTAAATTTAAATTGCAACCTTCTTAATGCCATCCAGCAGCTGGCAGTATTATATTTATATTATGTAAAACATATTAGTAAAGATGTGCATCATTAAAAAGGATGGTTGTCACTAAAATTACTGGGTTGATAACCCTGCATCAGCCCCTGGAAACCAAAATAATGCACAGTTTTAAATTTCCCACCCAAGCTTTTGTTATGACACTTACATTTTATATTTTTCCATAACAGGTGCAACATAAACCTACCTCCTCTGCTGCTGCTTCTGACAACAATCCTTCCTTCTGAGCACAAGTCACGTGAAAATAAGCTCTACACATCCCAGCATCACAACTAATACAAACACCAGTTCTGGCAAAGCGAGGATCTTCACAGAAACTGCATTCCTAGAGCAAAACAAAGCTAAACTTAAGTACAGAGTAAACAGTACAGTAAAGATCTCAAATATAATTTTACTTGCTATTTGGCATAAAGCAAACATAATGTAGATGATTCCTTCACAGGCAAAACTTGTATTCAATTTTATTGATGGATGAGTTTAGTCTTATGAGGTATGTAGAGGTAAGTTTCAAATAGATACTGTGCCCCACTGTCCTCTTCATCCTAACTATTTAATAGAAACAGTACTTGATGCATACTGCACTGTCAACACATCAAGGACCTAAACTTGTTTGAGACAATGTTGAGTTACTGGTTACCTCCCGCAAACTAGAGACAATTCAGAGAAGAAAAAATAAGCAAGCAGTGTTCTATAGAATACTGTAATGTTAAAAAAATATTTAAATCTATATCTTCTTAGTTAAATGACAAATAAGGAGTGAGGATGTGCCCAAACTATCAAGCAGTAATTGAAACATATTAGCACTGAGAATACATGAAAGTCATGGATCAATGAATAACAAGCATTTAGATGATAGGCCACATACTTCATAGCTTTCTGCAGGTGTTCTGTTATGCCCTCTCATTTCTGATAGAGCCTTACAGAAAATGTCCCCATAAAGGGACAGCAAGGTAAATTACTACCTCTGATGTTTGGAGTCTGCAACAAGGAAATTCTTTTGTCCGAAGCACCAAGCATTGTATGGGTTCTTTATTTTTTTTCATCTCAATCATTTTTCTGGTGTCTCAATTTGCATGAGAATGAGCAGACTTGAGTCACTAATACAGAGACTATTCCTTGAAATGTTTATATTGATCAGATGCGGTGTCCCCAAAGTTATAAACAGAGATGTCACTGTCACAACCCTATTACGTTTTTGGAGGGGGCAGAGGGAGGTGAAGTTCACAGGGTGGCAGGAATGTTTTCTTGTGTTTTACTATACTCACATGGCACGTGTAGTCTCACTGGAAAGCCCATGTTATGCTATATCCATTTATGTAACTTATCACTGTATAGATTATTTTATGCTGCTTGTATATATCTTTATGATTTTGGATATGGGGGTTCCCCTTGTCAAGGAAAGGGAACACATGGAAATGCTAAATCTCTCTTGCTATTGTGACCCTAGAGCAAGAAGAATTGGCACTCCCAGACCCAGAGAGACAGGTCCCAAAGCACTGCCTGCCTGTAATGGAGAAATCAACCTCTATAAGCAAAGGCATCTGAGAGGATGGCCTATCCTGCCAGAGGAATGCCAGGTAGCCAGGGAGGCCAGAAACTTGTGAAGAGTTCTGATGATTCATGGACAATTAGAATAATGCTGATGAGGGTGCTGGCTTGCAGGTTAAAAGCTAGTTAGGATAGAATAGAGCTCTTTGAATCTCAAGCTTGGGGGGCTCAATGACCCCAGCAGTCAGAGCTGGCAGAATCTGCAGGAAAGCTGAATTCTGGAAATACTGGAACATCTCTCAGAAGATAAGATATAGCTAGATGAGAGGATAAGAAATTTTACTTCTTTTGCTTTTCTGGCTCCAAATATATAGTGAATTTTGCTTGTGAAAATCTTTTATCCTATGAAATAAATGCTTTTGCGGTTTTGTCTCCTTACTGTCTGCCTGTAGGAGTGGTTTGTGGGCAAGAGAAACTCCAGGCTAATCTTTTCCACAGGAAGGGGGACCTATAATTTCTTTCATAACCCAAGAGGGTGGCCACCTGGAGCTAGCAGAAAGTTCCTCACCACCTGCAGGGTTTGGTATTAAGGAAGCAAAGCTGAGGCTTGCTGGGGTAGGAAGCTATCCCAGGGCAACCTCAGTATGTTCCTGGAGGCAAGTGGAAGTACAGTGAAGACAAACTTGGGGACTCTGTGGGGTCCCTGCAGACAGGTTTATGATTGTCATCAACTGAATCTTCAAGATCATGTCATCTTTGTCAATGAAATGGAGGAAAAGAAATTTAGCTTAAGCATAAGAAAAAGTTCCCAAACGTTGCAAAATAGTCTTCTACAATAAATGATGAAAGCCTTGATCACTGCAGTCATTTAAAATTAGACTACACTAGGTACACAGAGGGAAGAGTAAGACATGACAGATGGGAGATGAACAAGCTAGTCTGATTTAAAATTCATGTCAGGATTTTTTTTTTTTTAAACTACAACTCAAAATCTCATGCCCAGGTATTACAAAGAGCTACTTGAAATACATCATCTTACACAACTTCTACAGCAATATGTAGACAGAAATGAGTTTGTAGAACACAAACTCGTTATCCATCAAATGGAATTTTCCAGGAATGCTATTTTTTTCTGTATCCTTGCCTTGGTAAGTTCAAAATTATACTCATGTCACTTTGCTTTGTGACTAAGTATACCTTTCCAAATTAAGGGGAAAATTGATGCACTACATTTCCAACAAATAACTATATGGGGACCAAGTATTTTGCCATTTTAGAATCAGAAAAACTAATAAAATCACAATAAATCATATGAAGTCCAATAACTCATTTAGAAAATTATCCAACAGTTTCAGCAACTTTAGGACTTATTCAGATGAGGTAGGAATTACTTCACCTGAAACTGCCTTATATTTGTTGTTATAGAGTGACATATGTTGTTAGAGAGTAACACACTTGTTGTTATAGAGTGATTCCACTGCAATAATAAAGTGACTAAGAACAGACTGAAGAGCTTTATTGAGAAGAAAAAATTCCATGGTACATTCCATGGTAGTAGAACTACAAGAAATACAGGGACCCATGCCCAGCAGGCACACTGATACAGTCAAAGATTGACAGAGTATGCTTAGGCAATACATTTAACATGTGATTTACTGAAGCTGCAAAGGAAACTTTGGCAAAATATAAATTACCCATATCAGAATTTGCATGTGAGACCCAAAAAATATTTGTACTATAGTTAATATTCCATCCTATCAATATACTGCACTGCTTTAAGTCAATAACAATGCGAATAACTCTGGACTACTTAATTCTATGGTCCTTTTTATACCCTTAGAAAATGCCCAAATTCCTACGTCTGTTCTCATTAATCAGGTCCCCGTAAGCTCATTAGAGAACCACTTATAATACATAAAACAATTTTGTATATCAGCCTACCACAAAACATTGGAGGGGGTGTTGGTGGGGAGGGGGTTTGTTTTTTTTTTAAGTTCCTGCTTGTGAAAGGTTACCTGACACTTGAGAATATCTCCATACATAACACTGAAAAGACAGCAGCAGCACCACAATCTTCCCCTAAGTGTAAGAAAATGAATAGGCCATCTACATAGCAATTCTTTGTTATCTGCCGAGTACCATTTTATGCCAATTGTGATGGTACATTGTGTGATTTGCAAATGTGCTCACTTATGAACTGGACTAAGAACAATTACATTTCACATAAAAGTCTATTTTAGAAAAAAGGGGCTGTTGTTCAGTTCAAGGTGGGGCCCTGATGTCCTTCAATTTTTGTCTAAAATGTGCTTTGCAGCAATCCTTTTGAAAATTCATTGTTAATTTAGGATTCCAGAGAACCTAAAATAGTTCTCACTGAATGTACATCTGTCCCCTTTCTTCTTACGCATCATTTTCCATTTCACTATTCTGATTCCCATACAAACCTCTTTTCCTTACATTCACATGTTGGCAGACTGCCACAAACAAACATTTTTTAAAAAGGCAATTAGCATATTCAGAAAGAACAAGGGAACTGGGGCAAGCAAGTGAAAAGTAAGAGGAGGAAGGAAGGGGAAGAAAGGCAGCAACACACAACTAACTTATTGCATTTCCCGTCCTGGATTCCATTATATTTGTAACAATGGAATTACAAAAAGCAAGAAAATATAATATGTGATATCATATGTAAAGAAAGAACAATTATCCATGCATAGTATATCTTTTCTAATCTTACCTTGGCACCATATTTAGAATAGTTCATTTCTGTCAGTGTTACTGGCCGCAGTTTGTCAATGTCTCCAAATGCCACTCCTGGAACATAGAGGGCACAAACGATATGGACCCACCTACAACAGCAGATAAAATTTGGCTATCACAAATATCAACAATGCTTTGTTCTTACACTATGCTCCTCATTTACAGCTCCCAGCTTTAGAAGGAAGTGAAAATACCATCCACATTTTACCCATAAGGCAAGCAAGAGGTAGAGGTGTATTGTGCACTCATGCACTTCTCTCCTATCGATTTTTTTTTTGACCGCTTCACACAAATCCTGGCAACATTGTCTTTCATCCATTGTTTGGCTAAGTAAAATAAATCTCGCCCCCTCTCTCTAATTCTGTTCACTTCAAACACTGCACAATTTTTAGGCTGACTCTGGTAAGCAGTGTAGGAAAGGAACTATGAAAGAAAAAGAGAAAAAAAAAAAAAGAAACAGAGGTTATTTTATCAGGTATTCAAAGTACCAACAGGGACCCTATCTTCCTCTTCCCTTCCTCCAATGAATGGTACCCAAAATTTGCTGACCCAAGAGCAACAATACTGAGCAAATAATGATACAGGAAACACCACATAGTATATTTTTACTCAATTTGCTACAAATGAAACAGACATAACACACATCCCAGGGCTCAGAGGTCCTATTCCTTTATGAAAAGGAGGATTAGCGGGAGGAGAAAGTAGAAGTACTAAGCCTAAAGTTATCTGAATTTTGGAAAACAATGCTTAATGAACAAGACCCAGAAAATATATATATATTTTTTTTAATAAAATTATATCAAATTGCAAGAAATATTTATATTCAAGAGGAAACTCTATTCTCAGAGCTGGTACATTCCAACTTATCACATCTTTTATTAAAGTATAGAACACCTTTCCTGATATGGACTATTAAAGGAATATAGTGAAAATTATTTCACATACACCATATTCACCCAAATCCAAGATGAAGTATTTTACCCTCAAACAACAGGGCTCTGGCCCCTCACTCCTGCCACAGCAGTGGGGTGTGAATTTAAGACAATCCTCCAATAATTAGATTCTATATATGGAAACCCATAACAAAATTATAATTTTACATGCAGAGAATCATCTTATATTTTAAAACATCTTGGATTTGGGTAAGTATGGTATTATTATATAAATGGCACATGATGGTTTCCTACAATTCAAGAATTTAGTTTTACATTAAACAGTCCTGGGGAGAGAGACAGCAAAATCCAGATCTCAGCTCTTATATGAATGCCCTAATTACTAAGTTAAAGTAATACTCCCCTCTCTTTACCTCAGCAAATCTTGAATTCTTTTATTACAAAGTGGAAAAACCAACAAAAAACAAGAGAACAGATAGAGAGCGACTCAATCCCAAAATAGCCTATTGCTTGGTGGCTGGGACATGTTGTCCCCAGGGAGATCAGAACAGTTGGTTTGAACCCTCAACTGTCAAACACTGAAATCCTGTTTCTAAGCTAATGATACTCAACAAGGGTGCCACAGCACCCTAGGGTGCCTTGAGACCCTTCCAGGGGTGCTGGTAGGTACCATGCAATGTTAGCACTGTTAGGAGTGCGAACATGATTTGCAAGATAAATCCAGAGCTTTCAAATGGAAGCCATGCTGTTTAAAACATTCCAACTTGTTGTGGTATTTCTAAATTCTCTGAAACAAAAGAATTTGTCTATTACTTTTCTGTAGTCAAACATCGAGTGAAAGTTAAGAGCTGATTTTTTCTAAACACCGAACTACCAGAGGCAGGGCGCACACCTCGTTCATCAGGTTAAAGTGACAAATGCCACAAGAAAGAATTCTGCGTCCCATACAGACATTCTTTGTCTTGGGCGAATGGCTGGTTTAACAGGAGAAGTCCTGCATGTACATGTGTTCAGGATATTTCTCCCAGAGCAAAAGCAGACAGTTGAGGAGAAAAATAACCTAAGAACAACCAGAATTAAATCACTCCCAGGAGAGTGAATGTCTATATGTGTTCTCTCCTGAGAGAAGCCACAGCACAGTCTTCCAGTATCCCAGGGTGTTTTGCTCCCACACCCCTAGGGTGTGTTACTCACTAGATTCTACCACTCCAGCTGAGCTAGGAACAGAACACACCACCTTCACAATCCCTGCACTATGCTGCAGGGAGACAGGCTGATCCTGAGCAGTCTGGGTCTTCTTTCATAGTCCCTAAGCAGACTAAGGGAGCCTAGAAAGCATGATGAGATGCATGCGCAGGGGCCCTCAGGATGCACAGCATCAGCACTGCAAGCTCTCTGCTCTCCAAGGACTCCAAATTCAAATATCTGTTTAGACATCTCTGTGTAAGGTTTTCTACTGGTAAAAAAAAGAGACAAAACAGGGAGCATTCTTCCAGATCATTTGAACATGTATGCAGCACCTCTTCCAGGCCTTAAGTAGGCCTCCAGAGAAGCAGGATTTAAGGCACAATTTTGTCTGCCCCTGCTTTATACTGGGAGCCTTGAGGCACTTACATGGCAATCACAGACTGACCCATATGAGCTGGAATTCCAGTGCATCAGAAAAGACTTGATTAACTGAGTCTGCTGGAGCACTTAATTGATGCACCTGGTGTTGCATCAGGTGCAGGTGTATAAGCAGGGCAGCACACGTCAGCACTGAGAAAATGGCAGGCAGTGCACTTTGAACCAAAACACATTCAATGTGCTTTAGTTCAAAGCACACCGCCACCATTTTCTCAGCACTGATGCATGCTGCACTGCTTATAAACCTGCATCCAACACAGCTTGCTAATTAAAAGTGCCCAGCGCTGCATCAGGAACATGTGTAAAAATGCCCTGTGGCAATCACAGACTGACTCACGTGAGCACTGAACTAACAAGTTTGGATACTGATGCCAACAGTATAATCAGAGCAATAAAGTTCAGCTCAGACTAAATGCCAGAAACTTCAGCCAGCTTCTCAGACAGGCTTCGCAAGCCTATACTGAACTTTTGCTACATAGGCAGCAGCACCCAGGTTAACTATTGTTAAGCTAACTTATATAGATCTACACAAGCCACATTCACTACAGTGAAGACATATTCTTAGTATCTGGCAGTGACTCAAATATAGCATAACCTGAGGCTATGGTAGTGCTGTCAGGCTGTCTGACTGAAGGGCTATATCAGTAATTGTCAGACAAATTCATAATGTACTGTGACATCCACCTGCTAGAACATAATACAGCAGAGATGCACAGGACAATTTTCTATCTGCATCAGTGTGACAGGCTCTAAACTGTGGACCCTTACTATCAACTTTTACATGCCTCTGTCTCACAAGTCTGAACTACTATAATGTATTCTGCTAAGTACCTACCTTAAATCAATTCCAAAACAGAACTATTGCAGCAAACAACAGCCTTCTTTTTAAGCAACGCATCTTAATCTGATATAAAAACTTCCAAAATCTTTTGCTTCCTTAAAGAGTTTTAGACATCAATTCTGACTTATTGGGTCCTAAATGGCACATCATACAGATGCAGTTAACCACTGTAAATGTTGGAGCTGGACTTTTCTTCTGCATTTGGGCCCTTAATATCATTAGTCCACCACATCAATTTGCCCCATAGTTAAAATTACATGTTGCAAAGTATATCACTGGTGCAAGTCACAAATTTCATTGATCATTGATTTTTCTTTGTAGGCCAAGTACATTGCACACACAAAGATTATCTTTGATTCATCCAGGCTTTGTCATAAATATCCTGTGCATCACCTTGCCACACCTTTTATTTTCAGAGACTTGTTTCCATCTCTCACTCTATTGACCAGCAAGTCACTTTGTCCCAATTACACCATGCTAGGGACCCTTCATACTCATCCTTACATTTTTCCCCCCTTTCATCCGTCATCAATTTAAATTCAGCTGTGACCTATACAGAGTTGGGATGAGAGTGTGAATGGCTGCCATCAACTAGTTCCCTAACCTAGGGCTGTCCAACTTCTAAGCACATGGGGACCCTAGGGGCTACATACTACATGGGCTGCACAAGGTGAAGCACATGCCAGTGGGCCACATGTCACACAGACATTCCCTCCACTCACCCACTACATGCCCAATCGGGCACCCCACCCATCACTGTACAATGCACCCATCCCCCACCACCTCATCATGCAGGCACAATCCCCCACATATGACTGTTCTCTCCACGAGTACACATAGCACCAGACATCCTCAGCTCCTGCACACAATGCTGCTCTTCCCCCAACTATTATTATGGACAGGCCCAGTGGAAACTGAAAACTTGATCAGAGGTAGGAAGCAACAGCCTGAGGAAGGAGTGCAAATCTGGAGGCTCTAGCTGCTGTTGTAGCCAGAACAATGTGGGGGAACAGCAGCCAGGCAGGAGCCCAGGGGTTGCAATTTATCCCCAATGCATTACAAGTTGGACAGTCCTGCTCTAATCTATGAACCAGTGGACATTTTTACACATGCAATGAAACGGAAGTGGAGGGGGGGGGGGGGGGGGGAGCCCGCCAGCCCAGGGCTGGTCCGACCCAGCTCAACGTGCTGCAGAGGGGCAGGCTGGGGCACAAGAGTACTCGAATGCAGGGCTACCCAGCAGGCAGTCCCTGCAATAAATCACCCTTATGCCCCAGTCAGCCCCGCCAATGTCTACACATGCGTTGCTGTGCTCTAAAGAACTCCACCATCAGAATAGTACTTGTATTTACAAGTACTATCCTATGGCGGAATTTATTAGTTTACTGCGGCTTAACAGGGCCACACATGTAGATACTGAGACTTTTACTGCAGAGCTAATTAGTCAGCTCTGGAGTAAATGTCTCATTTAGATATGCTTAGTGATTCTCAACCACGGTGCCACAGCTGTTGGCATTGTTGGGCATGGACACATGATTCACAAGATAAACCCTGGGATTTCAAATACAAAATCAAAGTGTTAAAAACATTCTTATTTGCTGTGGTCTTTCCAAGTTCTTCACAACAGAAAACTGTTCTATTATTTTTCTGTAGTCAAAAAATGAAAAAACTGGGAGCTGACACTTTTTGGTGGATGCCTTGAATCTAAAAATATTATGAATCACTGACA